TTAGCGTCAAGGTGAATTTCAGCATCAAGGACCCATGATAAATAGTTCCTCCCGGTGATGTCATGTGCCACAAGTTCAAGTTTTGATAAATTTGGTATAGTGAAAACTATCATAAAAGATGAATAAGTTAGAGAAATAATTATAATAATAAACAATTAATGAAAACAAAACGATTAAGGTAAAAGAAATGAAAATAGAGCTATATCATGTTAACAATCTACTATTTCATTTTATTCTTGCCATAAAGTAGAAATTACATACTTGTTTCATTTCACTTTATATTATTGATATATATGTGTTAATAGAATTGAACGTGACTAACATTATTTATATGTTCCAATAAATATAAAGTAATTAAACTATAAAATTATTGCTTGTCAATTCATTTCTCACAGTTCTTCAAAATGCCTTAAAGATATATTTTGACCCAGGGAGTCCATGAATATTATAAGTATGACATTAGTGCATAGCTAGTTTGATGACTTTGAGGTCCTCTAAGAGTTGAGCACGGAAGGAAATAGTTAGTTTATCACTGCAATGTACTTAAACTATTTAAGATGCCCAAGCGCACAAATAATCTGCAAACAATGAGCATATGATATGTACCGCCATAAATAAAATGATTATAATGATACATACCTTAATAAAATATGGCTCAACTTAGCGGGAGTTAAGAATAAAATTAGAGCTTCGTGCTGATAACGTGTTATAAAATAAAAGCAATGCAGTAAAATATAAATAAGAAAAGATAGAAAGAAGAGAGAAGTGTTTTCTTCTTTCACTTTGGTGTATCTTTCCATTGCAATTACATGGCGTTTTATAGGCATAAAAAATAAAGATGATGGACATAAAGTAGAAAATTTAATCTTTAAGTTATTCACAACATGAGCATCCAATGTACAAACTATTCATAACATATCTCTCTGGGAAGGATCAGCCAGAGCCCAGAGGTCTGGAAATTGATCACAGGGCTGCCTCGTGATAGCCAATAAAGACGCGAGTCTCACCGGCCCCATCACCATCATTTGTATTTCATTAGTGCTGTATGATACATGGAATATACTAGGATATTAATTTTTCTCAAGTTGAAATAATGATGAGGAACTGTACTGGCCTGAAAAAGGAAACAAAATTTTAATGCTTGTGGTTAAATTTTATGAATTACATAACATTACACGAATATTTTCTGTATTAAAAAATGAAGCACAATATGTACTGATATTGGATCAGGACATCCTCTCATCCCCGCCAAATCCTCAGAGAAACTGTATCAAGAGCACAGCCCATTCTTACGCAACATCCTTGTGGAAACCTTAACAGGGCAACACCCCCAGAATCAGGTAATTTCATAACTCAGGAACAGGCCAAGTCGAGGATAATGCCACTACCACGGAAAGATATTCACTCTGGTGTAACATCTATATTTAGAATAACTGGAAGAAAAGGCCAGTCGATCCATCTCCAAAAGATTTTAGATCAGCAGGTCTGACCAAGGCTCTGCACAAAGGGCAAGTTCTTTCCCTATCAAACCTGAAACATGGTGTTTAGAGGACACTAACTGTTAGCACAAGCATAGACATAACACTTTTTTAGCATTCAGAATATGCCCATGATAATAGGCAAGAGTCGAGCAATAAGGCAGAGAAGCAAATTGATTTAAAGATCAATTTTTTCTCAAGAGGAAAGCGAGAACATAATAATGATTGAGCAGTTCCTACTTCAAAAGTAACACACGTGAACACAGCGCTCTCTCCTTTTCCTCCGTTGGTTCTCATTTTCAGCATTAAGGTCTGCTTTGATAGACCAGATTAGCCACTGGAAACATCTTTAGACTAAAATTGAAAATGACAGCAGTCTCAATCACAATTTTCTTTTTCTTCGGAGGGCAAGACGAATTCATTTGTGATACATGATATGCTTCCACCGAATTAGGGACTTGCGACTATTTTCAATTAGATAAAAACTCACTCTGAGAGCAAACTACAGTTACTTTGGCTAATGGTCATGACAACTAGTCCAGAGAGTTACAAAGGCCTCTCAAATACAAATGCAACAATCTCAATTTCAGCAAGTTCTTTCCGGACATTGCCCAATTAGTAGCACTTATGGCATCCATTAAATATTCCAGTAGGCGTTCCCTTGTTCTAATAGCTACCTACGGGCTATGGCCTTCACCAGCAATACATGGCAGGATCAACACAAATGCTGATGATAGTTTGGTGCATTTCAAATATTTTATTAGAAGCAAAATGCTATAAAGCACTTAGTAATTAATCTTGCGGGACCAATGAGAAAAAAGCACACATGAATCACAGCATTATGTCTGAAATGTCTGACCACCTCATTAAAAAGTCCAAACTATAAGTGCGGGTCAGACTCTTTTTTGCTGGGCCAAGCACGTGATAATTTTTTTAAATAATGGATGGCGGTGAGATGTAAGCCCAGAAACCTTAGTATGTTACCAATCTCTATATTATGGTAAGAATCTTTTTGATAAGGCTAGATTATGGTGAGAATCTAAGGAATCTGCAGATATGATATACCAATTTCTTTTTTAAATGATATGAATATCTAATATTATACCTTAGATTAGGTAAATATTATTCTGTATAGCAATAATATTTTAATTATAAAAATAATCAAGTATCAGATAAAGACCTCGGTCGCTGTAGGAAGGCACCTGAGAGGAGGGCAGCCAATCACGGGAGAGATGAGCAGTTGACCATCCAAGAGAGAAACAGTGCCTAAACGGACATAGGAGAGAGGAGCAATGCCAGAACATTCACCGCAGAAATTAGCGGTGCATGATCAGTCATTGTAAAGATGTGTGGCTCTGGTTGCCGGAGAGAGGAACAGTGCCAAGGTTAACGCAGGAGAGAGGAATCCAGTCGGTTGCTGGAGAGAAGAATGGCTCCTACATGATCACGGAAGAGAAGCCGTGCCTAAATGATCATTTGAGAAAGGACGGGCGCCAGAACAGTCCCGACAAGAGTGGCATCTCCTTGTCGAAGAGAGGAGCAATAACTGCACGATCATCTCAGAGAGGAGCAACAACTGAATGGTCATTTTAGAGAGTAGAGAGGCGGGTGTTGGAGAGGGGAGCGACATCAAACAATGGAAGCTAGGAGAATATGTGTATAGATTTACAAATGTGTAGATTCATCCAACTTGAATAAGAAAATACTAAAATATTCTATAGGATAACATGTATTTAATAAACTAGTCTTAGGGTAATGAGTATATAATCTTGGAAAATTCCGTCTACATAATTTCTCATATTTTGTTTCTTTCTTAATTATTTTTCTTTATTTGCTTATTACACTTAGCTACGTTATTAATCTAATTTTTCTAAGAAATTATACCTCATAATCTTAAAAAGAATAAATCATCCACAAACTTGACTTATAGTTAGTGATGTCATTAAAGTTGAATTTTTTTATTGGATGAGGTTATATGCAAATTTAACTATGTTAAAATAATAGATATGGTTCAACTGTCAAATCCTTCTGCACGTGTTTTTACATCTATTAATAAAAAGTGTATAAAATTTAGAATAAGAATGAATTATGTGTAAATAACAATTGACATCAAGATAAAATATAATATTTTATATAACTAAGAGTAAGGAAAAGGGGTACCGCACCAGAAACTATTTACATTTGGTAACCGAAAAAGTATATAAAATTTGTATAATTTTTGTATATAACATACAGAATACTATATATATATATACAAAAATATATATATTTTGATTATTATTTTGAGAGCGGCTATACAATATCATTTTCCTTAAAAAAAAATTTATATTATTTTTATTAAGATACTAAAATTATACACCATTAAGATATTAGTTCATTGAAAATTTAGAAAATCAATTGAAATATCCAACATATAAAATATTAATGGCAGTTATCATTATATCTAACATGGAATGTATATTTTTGTTGATATATTTACTTTTCATAATTGTATATTTACTACTAATAAATGTATTCTAATATAATTTAAATGATTAATTATATTTAAGCAAAAAAGAAAAAGTAGACAAACCTTACGTGTACTTTGTGCATATAGAGAAGTTTACCATAAATTGATATAATGCCATTATTCTTTTATTAATTGAAAAGATCATAAAATTTAGGAAATGTTAAGGACTTCTTACCTAATTCAAATAAGTTTTGATTTAGTAAAACAAATTGGCTTGATTTTAAGGTCATAAATATTAGGAAAGCAATTTAAATTACAATTTTATCCAATATAAAATTGACTTTTAAAGGGTAAAAAAGGCGAACGACATTTCGCTAAGGGCCTTCGTGCTTTTAATATAGAATAGATAATATATTTACTTCTCTTGTTGGGCATAGAGTATGATTATTTACTACCTTGTACGTAACTTAAGATTCCTATGCAAGAAGCCCCTCTTATAAATTGCTTGTTAACCAAATTCAACAAGAGTTTCCGCATCGATTTTCACATGGTACAAGAGCCTCTACAATCTTGGTAAAGATATAAGTGACTTCCGCTTACCGGCCGGAATGCCTTACACCACATGCCCTGCTAATGTTTTTTCTTCTTTCTTTCCTCTTTGGGTGAATGATGGTGCTTCTCTCTCAAACAATCAGCGTCATCTTCTCCCTGGAACTAGAAAAAACTTCTCTCTGGCGATCAACGTCTTTCCTCTCTACGCACAACCGGTGCCACTCCATTTTCTACCCTCCATGACCCTGCTCTAAACCTTAATGTTTTCTTTTATTGTTCTGCCAATTCAAGCTATGCTAATAGTTCCTTGGAGATTTACAACACCAAACCTCTATATGTTGTCCATGAAGCACTTTATTTCACCGTGCAGTTTCCAACGAATTTTGCGACAAAAGAATTCCAACACTGCTTAATTTTTTGGTGATTGTGCACTATTCCAGTGAGATTTTGGTGGCAATCCTTTGGTGATTGTGCACTATCCCAGCAACATTTTGGCGGTCTTCAAAATTAGCGATTTCAAATTGGTTTGCCAATTTGAGGGAGCGTGTTGAACGTTACTCGAATGCGTCTAGATCAACATATGTCTAGATTCATCGAACTTGAATAAGAAAAATGTTAATAGGAATTCTATAGGATACTTTAGGATATTCTGTATTTAATTACCTTGTTAGGAATAGAGAATGACTACCTACCAATTATAACTGAAAAGGAAATACTAACCATTCTGAGACACAGTCTTCACAAAAGATGTGTTTGCAACGCAACAAAATTGGTGCATTCATCTTCTCCTGGCAAATAGCACATAGATCACCAGCTGCAGTTACCTGGTTGAACCATAAAAGGTAAAATTACATGAGAGAATTGCAAATTAAAGATATAAGGAAAAGGAAAGATATCTAATTAGGTAATTCTCTTCCTTGCCAAAATGAGCGATAATATGCTTACTGCTCGTTCCATATAAGTAATTCTAAGCACAGAAATCTTTACAGCTTCTCTAAGAAAGTAGTAACTATCTAACTGATAGAAAAAGGGCGGACGAATCTAAGGACACGCCATAAAAGAGTGGATCTTTATGTCATTTATAGCTTCAGACCTAGTGTCACTTTAATCTTTTGCATTTGCTATTTATGTCTCACAGATCTGTCCTGTTAGTATATTAAACTGGGGATTGCTTTAGATTGCTTCTAGTTGAAATTGTCACAAAACACCCCAACTTCAGCTTCACAACTTTTACATTTGGTAGTCCCGAGCACACTTTCCGCTATTTGACCTAGACACCAAGAAAAGGCAAAAGTTTTACGAATGTAAATTGTCCTTAGATAACTGAGATTAAAGTCTATAAATGAGGATTCAGAATTTTGGCATTTACGACATGTCCGTATGCATAAACCACTGCATCAATGGTCATTTAGAAGTTGAACCAACATTACCTACTTGGAAAAAGAAGAGTGCGTAGCTTAGAGATAGGTAAAGAAACGAAGAGTGCAAACAACATAGAGGTTGTACGACACACTTTCAATGTTGGTAACACAACTCAATAGCTTACAAAAAAGATATGGTCAGTCTATACAGGAATAAAGTTGCTATAAGGAAGCAACATGAAATTTATCTTCAGACCAAAGAAAAGTGACGAAAAAATAATATCAGGATGCTACCCTCTCATTATCCACGAAAAGCACAATAATTTTTCCTCCCACCTTACACAAGTATATTTTTCAATTTTAGTGCATCGATTTGTCATACATATAACTGCTTCTAACTGTAAAATAGAGAAGAAACATTGCAAGCCAATGATAAAATGATACCTGGTCAGGTGTGGCATGTGACCCATAATGGATTTCCTTAATCGACAATGCCT